TTTGAGTACATGAGTATGCTTGATGGATACTCTGGGTACAATCAGATTTTCATTGCTGAAGAAGATGTGTCGAAAACAACATTTCGATGTCCAGGGGCTTTAGGTACTTACGAATGGGTAGTATTGCCTTTTAGCCTAAAAGATACAGGGGGAACATATCAAAGAGCAATGAATTCTATCTTCCATGATTTTATTGAAACTTTCATGCAGATTTATATTGATGATATTGTTGTCAAATATGTTTCAGGGAAGAATCACATAGACCATCTTCGCCAATCCTTTAAAAGGATGAGAAGCTATGGCCTGAAGATGAATCCTCTAAAGTGCACTTTCTGCGTAAATTCATGGGACTTATTAGGCTTTTTGGTCCACAAAAAAGGAATCGAAATAAACCAGAACAAGACCAAGGCCATTTTGGAGGCGAAAGTTCCAACAAACAAGAAGAAATTGCAATCTCTACCTGGCAAGATAAATTTCTTGAGGATATTTATATCCAACTTAAGTGAAAAAACGCAAGCCTTCTCACCCTTACTTCGATTCAACAAAGGATGATTCAAATGGGGGCAAGAACAACAAGAGGCCTTCGATAAAATCAAAGGATACCTCACCAAGCCACCTATTCTGGTGCCTCCTTGTAGAAATAGGAGTATGAGATTGTACACAGCTGCATCTGATAGAACTTTAGGGAGCATGTTGGCTCAAGAGGATGAGAATGGTGTCGAAAGGCCCATCTACTACCTCAGTAGAGTTTTAAATGATGCAGAAACTAGATATATCGAAGTTGAAAAACTATGTTTATGTCTTTACTTCTCATGTACAAAACTCAAGCAATATATTAAACCAGTTGATGTTTATGTTTCGTCTCATTTCGATGTTTTCAAATATATGTTTTTGAAACCCATCTTGCACAATCGAATTGGAAAATAGGCACTTGCATTAACTGAGTATTCACTAACCTTTATGCCTCTCAAGGCTGTACAAGGACAAGTGGTAGCAAACTTCATAGTCGACCACTCGATAAATGAAGAATCCTTAAATTACTTAGAGATTAAACCCTGGAAGTTATACTTTGACGGTTCCAGTCATAAAGATGGAACTGGAGTGGGAGTTCTAATTATTTCTCCAAATAAAATTCCAACAAAATTCAAGTACAAGATCGAAGATTCTTGTCCGAACAATGAGGCTGAGTATGAAGCTTTAATTGTTGGCCTTGAAATCTTGTTGGAATTTGGGGCAACTCGAGTCGAAATAATGGGAGACTCGGAGTTAGTCATAAAGAAAGTTACAAAAGAATACAAATGTATAAGAGAAAATCTGATCATGTATTTTGTAATAGCCAATCGCTTGTTGAAAAAATTCAAAGTGATCAATATTCGACATATACCAAGATTAGAAAATCAAGTGGCTAATGACTTAGCACAGATCGCATATGGGTATAAAATTTCAAAAGAAAAATTGCAACAAGCGATCAAAGTTAGAGGAAGGGTAGTATCAACCAAGCTGTCTCCAACAGATTTGGAAACAACAAAGCTGGGGTACGCTGACCAAGAAAACTTCGAGATTTCGTTCATAGACAGTCTAACAGAGCAAGATTGGAGAAAGCCTATAGTAGATTATTTGCAAATTCCAACAGCTTCGACAGAACAAAAGACAAAGTATAGGGCATTGAGTTATATTCTAATGGGAAATGAGTTATTCAAGAAGACGTCTGAAGGAGTACTACTAAAATGCCTAAGTGAAACAGAGGCATATATAACCCTTTCAACTACACATGTTGGAGCATGTCGAGCACATCAAGTAGGCCATAAAATGAAATAGTTGTTGTTTCAACAAGGATTATATTGGCCTACTATGTTGAAAGGTTGTGTTGAGTTTGCAAAAGGCTGCCAAGAATGTCAAGTACATACAGGCATCCAGCATGTACCTGCAAGAGAACTTCACTCAATTGTGAAACCTTTGCCTTTTAGGGGATGGGCTTTGGATCTTATTGGAGAGATTCGACCAACATCATCTAAAAGCCAAAAATATATATTGGTGGGCATTAACTACTTCACTAAATGGAGCGAAGCAATTCCTTTAGTCAATGCATACCAAGAAGATGTCATTGAATTTATTCTAAAGAATATTATATATAGGTTTGGAATCCATGAGACAATAACAACTGATCAAGGATCAATATTTACTGGTCGAAAATGCAAGAATTTGCTACAGAAATGGGATTCAAGCTGTTAACATCTACACCTTATTATGCGCAAGCCAATGGACAAGTCGAAGCGGAAAATAAGGTAGTAATTGGCTTAATAAAAAAGCATGTAGGGAAAAAGCCAAAGAATTGGCATAAGACATTAGACCAAATCTTATGGGCATGTCGAACTTCTCCTAAAGAAGCTACCAATACGACACCCTTTCGATTAACATATGGTCATGACGCAGTGTTGCTAGTAGAAATCTGCCTGCAGTCAACAAGAGTTCAGAGACATCAAGATATTCCTTATGAATCTTATTGGAATGTGATGTTAGATGAAATGGTTGATTTGGACGAAGAAAGACAGAGCTTTCAACCTCTTAAAGATACAAAAGAAAAGAATGGAAAAATCTTATAATAAGAGAGTAAAATCCAAGACATTCTTGCTTGAAGATTTGATGTGGAAGGTAATTCTCCCAATGGATCGAAATGATAAGAGCATGGGAAAATGGTCTCCTAAATGGGAAAGACCTTTTAAGATTATCCAAGTATTTTCTGGTGGTGCCTATGAGATTGAAGAATTAAGTGAAGATAAAAGACTCTTAAGAGTAAATGATAAATATTTGAAAAAATATAGACTTGCACTTCAAGAAGTTCAAATAATTAGCAATTGATCTCAGTCGAAGTATATAGCCAAAATGGAGAATTCATTAAGTTGGCCAAAATGGCTCTAAATCATTACATATACCCATTATGAGGGTTCAAATATTTGTTACATAAGCGGTTGTACAGACAAATGATGGGAACGCTTGCCATGCTTTCCTAGATTATAGGGATAATGGTCATCATGGCAGTGTATAACGGCTTACTGATAGTGACGTATTGGAAAAAGCGTAATGATGGCTCTGATGTCAGCAGTGGTTGGTAGAAGACGAAAAGTTCACTGTGAACTTATGTGACCAAGAAATGGACAGATGTCGAATAGAGACATCAAAGAATGACTATTTCTTCTTGTGTCAAAATTGACATTCTTGGGGGGAAATTTATTAGCTCCTAAATTCGATACTCACATATATTGGCCTTATTGGCTAAAAATAGATTGAAGAAATCTAAGCTGAAGACACTTCGACAGAAGAGCCTACGAAAGGAGTTGTGCAGACAGTTTCGACCGAAAAGCTCTTGTATCAGCAGCAAGCGGATTTGAATCCGAAGAAAGGAGGGAAAGGAAATTCATTTGGCAGTTGGGAAAAGCGGCGTGGCATGAAGATAAGGGTTGAATAGCATGCAAAGGACACTTGTCCTCATCCTGGAACGAAGCAACTGCACGACAATTACTTATTACTAGTATAAATATAGGAATTTTGTGTAGAATTTTGGGTGTTTAACTCATTGTATAAGTCACTCAATTTTATTCAAGTACCCGCTGTGAGAGAAAGAACATTGAGAATGTACGTTTGAATCACCATACTTTATTGCAATCAAAGTCTTTACATTTCTTTACAATCCTTGCCATTTAACATTTTTCTACAAACTTTACCATTATAGTCTTTTAAATTACTGCAAATTTACTTTATCCTGTACTTGACTTGCGCTTTTACCAAGTTTGTACCTTCATCCTGTGCATTTAAACCTATCCAAGCCCTTACTCTTAGAGTCCAGTCGAACTTATTCATTAACAACGTTAAGACTTCTTATCAAACCCCAAAAACACTTAACATATGTCCTAGGATCAAATTGATCGATCCTGCAAGTAACCAAAATAACCTTTTTTTGGAAGATCAGCGGTTGTCTATCAATTTTCACGGTAAATAGTTACCTTATTTGCACACCAGTTTCTACCTGACACATTCTTTATAGTACTCTCGTAGGCTGAGTTTTATCTCGATAACCTCTACTCGATCCCACCAGCGTTCAACTAGTGTGCTAATGGTATAAGTTCAGTTTTATCTGTCCTTTGTTGATTGAGACCAATTTATTTCTAGTATACCCGTTCGGATCCGATATCTATTCATATCTTTTGGAGTCTAGTTTTATCTAGTCTTCCTGGATTGAGTTTTATCTCATTATTTCAATTGGTGTTCCAGTTTCATCCTAGCACATCCTTCTAAAAATTTAGTTTTGTCTAGTCTTCTTGGGTTGAGTTTTATCTCATTTTTACAGTTTGTGCTCCAGCTTCATCCTGACACATCCTTTTAGAGACTAGTATCCATTAGTTATCTTGGTATAGGTCCAATCTTTACTTGGTTTACTTGTTGAGTCCAATCTCTACTTGACTCGTCATTCAAATTCAATTTCTACTTAGTATATCTCTTGAGTCCAATTTTATCTGACACTCTTTGGTAAGGTTTAATATTCACTAGTCTTTCTCCCTTTCACCCAGTTTGCTTGGTATCATCCTTCCGAAAATACAGTTATCCTTGTTGTTTTACTCTCTTATTCAAAAGCGTAAATTTTTAGGTTCTTTTAGTATTCAATCCTCTTCCACCTCAAATGTTCAAAAACTGTCATTTTTTCTCACTTGTCAGATTTAAAATGGTTGAATACATGCAGTTGTTGCACCTAAAAATTTATTTATTTATTTATTTTTTTAAAAATTTTTTTAAAGGTCCAAAATAATTGAGGCATATAAAAAATTAATTTAGACCAATCACATAAAAACATATACTTTGTTGCAAAATTGGAAAAAATGTATTTTTTTCTTTTTTTCATTTTCAATGATTGCAGAAACTGAAAGAATAATCGATGAATAATATTAGGAATAAGAATACTCCAATTCGGAACAAATTCGATCTCACCATTCCCGATTCAACGATCAATGGAACCGTCGAATTCCGGCGACGATAGGTTTTCAACGTCAGCTTTCACCTTCACCGCCCCTTCCGTTTCTTCCGGCCTTTCGAAGCCGCGATTCGTTAAAATTCGCAAACACAACAATGCCTCCGCCTTCAATCGCGACGGTTCTGTCGCCAATGTCGCCGTAACCGTCGTCGGATCCGATAAGCTCGATTCCGCTTTGAATTTTGATAAACGGATCAGTGATCGGTTGAGGAATCTTAAAATCGGAAGCGAGGGTTTCGTGAACGCGGACGGGAGCGAGCTTCCCGAGGAGATGATGAGTAAGTTGAAGATTGTGACGGAAAATCAAGGCGGTTTTGATAAGGTTCGTGTTGAATCGGAACTCGGTACCGAGTTGCAGAGGAAACTCAATATTAAAGAAACTGAGAAAATCGAACGAGGTAACAATAACAATGCAGTTAGTGATGAAAATTCGGCTGATTCTGTTATTCGGCAATTGAATAATCTGAATGTGAATGATGTAATGAGGAGCAAGTTTAACCTAGTTGACCAGAATGTTGAACCTAATTTATGCAACTCTTCTGCAATGCCGCCATCTTCATCGGTGTCGGGTTCAGCTTCAGCTTCTGTGTTATTTCAACCTTTTGATGTAACTAAAAAGGATCAATTTGTTTTTCAGAGTAAACCCGAACCTTCAGGGTCGCCTTTTGTTGAGTTTAAAACACATGCATCAAAGATTGGTGGCAAAGAAGGAAAAATGAAGGAAAAAAGTGGTAATTTGAGAATGAAAAAAAGTACAGTGAACTTGAAGCATTCTACACCGGTACAACCTTGGAATGGACATGGTTTTTTTTATAAAGAAAGTGTTCCACAACAAAGTGGTCATCCTCAAGGTTCTTTTGAGACTTGTTCGCCTATGGAGGTCTCTCCTTATCAGGAAAAACTGGCTGAGAAACGAACCTCGAGGGAAAGTTCAGTGATATCCAGTGAGTCATTTGGTGTTGACACTAATGATAATGAAGCAATGAGTTTTGTTGATAACATTGATGAGGATTTGATTAGGGCAACTCAGAATATGAATATAAATGAAAGTAGTGAAGTTGTGTGTGAAGATACAAAGGAGGGAAAGTCAGAGTGTGATACACATGAATATATTAGTGTTGATGAAGAGACAAAGGATGAGTCTGTTTCTGGGGTTGAAACTGAAAGCTTTATATCTGCTAGTGATAGTGTGGACCAAATTAATGATGCAGAAACTGAAGCCTGTGATGGTGATAAAATGTTGAATCTTGATGGTAGTTTCAGTCTGAGAAATGGAAGCGTGAGTGAGTCTGGCTTCACCTTTGCTGCCGCTTCTTCTGTCGAACCTCAATTGACTAGCCCAAAACGCCACAACAAAAAGAAAAACTGGGTAAATGTTGGTCCTGATTCTTTCAACTACGTGCCAAACGTAAAGGTTCCTTATTCATCATCATCGGTGCCATTTTCAGTGGTTTCTGGAAAGCCTCTTATTGTGTCAGGGCAAGACATAAAAACCAAAGTATCTTTTCCTCAACCCAAAATTAGGGGTTCTGATGTGAATGAGGAGCACAAATCAAGGGATGCTTCCGCTTCTGCTGATGCATGTGAAAAGTGGCGCCTCCGGTGAGTATATTTTAGTTTTAATTCTAATACCATATTTGCACTCACTTGATTATTATATGCTCAGTTTTTGTCGTTCTGGATTACAAGTCCTGGTTTTTACAATTGCTTCTGCTATGTAAAATGAAATAGAGTGCAGTGCAGTTATATGTTCAGGTAAAAATGGAAAAGAAAAAAAAAAGGAGTTTGCTCTCTAAATTAACTTTTAAAAATAGTTCCTTTGATTTTGACTCAATACTCTATCAACATTGCAACTATTCTCACAATGCTAAACATGCTCTAATTCAGAGGAAACCAAGCCTACAAGAACGGGGATTTGCCTATGGCTGAGAATAGTTACAAACAAGGACTTAGCTGTGTATCTAAAGATCAAACATCTCGGAGCTGTCTCAGGGCTTTGCTGCTATGTTATAGCAACCTGGCTGCCACACACATGTCTCTTGGTAGGATGAGAGATGCAATAGAAGATTGTAGGCTGGCTGCTGAAATAGATCAAAACTTCCTCAAGGTGCAACTTAGAGCTGCAAAGTAAGTCTCCATTTTTATTCTACTGTTTGCAGTATTTAATTGTATGAATTTATATTGAATATAACAGCCCTATGGTTTTCTCGTGTAGATAATAGTTGCATTAGGATTGTTAGGTATAGTTGAAGTTAACTAGGTAGGGTAGGCAAGAAGGTATTCTAAAATTGGTGGCTATTTTTTATATGAACAGTATCAGTGGGATTAATGATTCGTATTGTAGATAAGTAAAGGATCCATAGAGAGTACTCTTATCCCTCTGGAAATTTGAATAGCACTTAGTGCCTGATTATTATTCAAAGATTTGAAGATTATATTTTACTTGTAATTATAATAATATACAAATATGTAAGTGTCTAGCAACTTGCATGTCCGCAATTCATGAGTATAATTTTAAGCATCGAGATTAATGGGTGTATGCCTTACGTCATTTTGTTTTCATTCTTGTTTAAGTTGTTATCTTGCTTTGGGAGAAGTTGAAGGTGCTTCACTATATTTCAAACGGTGCTTGCAATCAGGAACTGATGTTTCTGTAGATCGAAAAATTGCTGTGGAAGCCTCCGATGGCTTACAAAAGGCACAGGTCTGATTATCTGTAATTATTTGTAATACTTACTTTATTTACGGAAGCTTTAGCTACTAAAGTTTCCTTTTTGTTAAAGATTTTTAATTAGCGATATGCTACATGTGCGATGAGTTAATAACCAAAACGTCTTACACTGAACGGATTTGGTATTGTATTATATTAGCCTTCAATGAGACAATCGTGAAAAGAAAGGTTTTTAAAAAAAATGTATATGGTTTATGTTTCTAAAATTATTGGAAATATTTTTATACTGAAAATGTTGAAACATTATGTCTGAATAAAGCCTTGCAAATATAGAAAGGTAAAGAAGAAAGAGAGATTGGAGATTGCATGTTGCTTTCTTTTGTGCAACAACAGTCTACTGCTTGATTGATGTGTTAATTTTGTATTTTTTTCCTTCATTCTCTCCTTCACAAAATCTAGAGGTTTTTTAATTCACAATTTTTTAACTAGTTGTGGTGTTATGTCCACTCCATCTTCCTAACTGATTAGTATTTTCACTGGATGATAGAAAGTATCAGACTTCATTAATCATTCTGCCGAGCTTTTGCAAAGAAGAACATCCTCTGAAACAGAGAGGGCATTGGAACATATTAACGAGGCATTGATGATCAGTATGTACTCTGAAAAGTTGCTTGAAATGAAAGCAGAGGCTCTTTTAATGGTTGGTACCTCATTCTTATAATATGCTACAATTTCACTCGAGCTTATATTGTGTCTAATAGTATACATGCCAGTTAGAATTTGTTCTACTTTAGTATTACTGAAGCAACAGTTTAGTTAGAATTAGTTATGCCAACTTTCTTAGAGCCCGTTTGTTACAGTCTAATAAAAAGTGATTTTAACTTATATTTCTAGAGATGATTTTATGAGAACTTACTGAACAAAGGAGAAATTATTTCAAACTCTTCTGTTATAATTTAAAAGAGTAGTTTTGACATTTAACTTAGATATTCATTGTTAGAGATTTTAACATAATAAAACTCACATATTTGTTCAAAATTATATCTCTTAAATTAACTTCTCATTTTAAGCATTTAATAAATTTTACCATCCAAAAAAAGTCGTAGCAAATAAATGAAATATTTAAAATAATTTTATGAGAAGCTATTTAAACCAATTTTTCATTTGAACCTTTAGTCTGCTCTTTCTGTATTATCTTGATTATATTAATTAAGTGAAATTTAAAAAAAAAAAATTCTGAACCTTTTTTTAATTAAATTCTCTTTTAAATATTTTCAAACAAAAAATGTGGTACACTTTAAAAATCATTTTCTAAAAAAGCTGTAACAAATGGGCCTTTAGTCTGTTTAGAGCAGTTACTAAACTGCCTTGCTCTTGTACTCTGTATATATAGTGGTCTCAGCATTCATATCACAGTTACAGTTTCTCTACTTCTCTCAAATTTTCTAAATCTAGTAATGGAGGCACTCAAGAGTCTGCACAAGTCTTTCAGTGTAGTAATTTATATAATTGGTTTTGTTAAGATAACTTTTGTTTCACATATCAGCTTTGTAGATATGAGGAGGGGATTCAGCTGTGTGACGAGACTTTTAGTTCAGCTGAGAAGAATGCTTGTCCAATAGCTGCTGGTTGCCAAGCCACATTTCTGGATGATTCAGAACTCTCAAAAATCTTCTACTTTAGACTATGGAGGTGTTCAATAATGCTTAAAGCCTATTTTCAGCTAGGAAAGCTTGAAGAAGGTCTTTCTTTGCTGGAACAACAAGAGGAAAAGGTGTCTGCCATAAACAAGTAATCATTACTATCCTATAACCCGTTCACCCCCCTAATCCCTTCCCAGGTGAAATTAGAAAAGAGAAGAAGAAAAATGAATATTTAACATTGATGGTGATCTTTTTAACATCGGTTTTGATACTGTCCTCGCAGGAGTGGAAGCAAGGTTTTGGCGTCACTTATACCACTAGCTGCCACTATACGCGAGCTTTTACATCATAAGGTTAGCTTATACAGTGTTTCATGATATTTTAATAGCGACCGTGCATATTAGCATATTTGTTTGCTTAATGCGTAGAACATTCCTGTTGTTAAAAGTAGAGTACTTTTTCTGCTTAATGCATATAAGTTATAACACTTCTGTTGTTAAAAGTAGTCATACTTTCTTTTTCTTTCTAATGTGCAGTTTTGCAGCCAATATTTTAAGGTTTTAACCAACTTTTAAAATAGCTTTTGCAAGAGACATCAACTTTAGCATTGTAAATCTGTTCATTTGCAATCAAATTACTTCTACTGGTTGTGCATGCTTTTGCTTTTGGTGACAATTATTGTTCATGTATACTCTCCTGTTTGAACTTGTCGAATTAAATAAAGCCTGGAGAAAAATGCTCCTATAATAGAATGGGATTCCTAAGACACCAATTTGATTGTTTTTGGGTGTATATTGGCATGCTTTCAAAATAAGTATATTCTTATAATATCACTTATTTTCAAAGCAGACTATTTTTTCAGTTTAAAAAACACAAACACTTGAGCTACCTGTGTGTATTTAATTAGTACCCAGGAGTTAGAATTAATATTAGTATAATTTGTGCGAGCCTTTCCCAATAATCATTAAGCATATTACTCAGTAATATTAGTATCTCATTGATGTTGTATTGTATTCTAAGAAATATTCACGAGTTTAATTCAGTTTGCCCTGTTTTCTGTAACTTGAAATTGCTTTTGATTGGGATTGATGTAAACCTATTCAAATGTAGACCGCTGGGAATGAAGCATATCAGGCTGGACGACACGCAGAAGCTGTTGAACATTATACATTTGTTTTATCTTGTAATTTGGAGTCTCGTCCATTTGCAGCAGTCTGTTATTGTAATCGTGCCGCGGCATATAAAGTGTTAGGTCAAATAACCGATGCTATTGCAGATTGCAGTCTGGCTATAGCTCTTGATGGAAATTATTTGAAGGTTTTTTCTTTTCAACTGAATCTCCTTCCTTTTTTTTTGAAGATCTTGTATTTTATCAGATGGGTTCAGGTTAAATATAGAAACTAGGAATAACATGTTCCCTAGTTTGATGAGCATTATTCATATTCGACTGATAGTTGATCGTTATAGATGCCAGCATTGTGTTCTTGCTAACTTTCTGTTTTTTAGAAATTTAAAACCCAGTTGTTGTTCATTCCTTCTCTGTTTTATCTGTAATAATTCCTGCATTGAAGAATTGTTTTATTTAGAATTTCAGTAGCAGGACAATGAGAAATATATTTTTACACTGTCGCAGGCACTTTCTAGACGTGCAGGTCTGTACGAGATGATCAGAGATTATTCCCAAGCAGCCAATGATCTTAGAAGACTTCTCTCTCTTCTCAGTAAGGAGCTTGAGGATAATGCCAATCATAAAGGAACATCTGATAGATCAATTAAATATACCAATGATTTGAAACAATATCGCATTCGGCTCTCTGAACTAGAAGAAGAAGACAGAAAGGAGATCCCTCTTGATATGTATCTTATTTTGTAAGTTGTTAGTACTCCTTTATCCTATCATTATAACTGACCAATTAACACCATTTTAGAAGCAGGTAAAATAATTTTTCTCAAAATCACCAGTTACCATCAATTCTACTTTTGTGTGTATTTCTAAGTTAAAACTGTGCACAATCTACTTATGAGGTTGATATGGGAAATTTTCAGACATAAAGGGAAGGTTTCATAATCTTCATTCTTTGGTTCCTGAACTTTAATGATCCATTTTTCAATATCTAGGGTCAGAAACTAAATAAAATTCATGTCAGAATGTGACTGAATTAGGATTCATAAGCGTAATAGTTCGGGACTAAATATAGGCTCATGGAAGGGATGGATCTGTAACTATTCAAAGACTGTAGTTAGGTAATTATTCCCCAAATACATTACACATCCAGAATCCAAAAATTACTATTAAAAAAAGGTCCATTTGGGAAACCTTTATGTTGGTTTATAAATATTTGATCCATTTTGCAAAAAACAATCCATCAAGAAGAAAGTGCCACATCATTGCTGTGAGGTTTAAATTTTCTTTAAATGGTTCATCAGTAGTGTACATTTTAACTCTTCTGGTTGTCAGAGTGGGTCATAGTTAAACTCTAGTTAGAATATGATTACCTATGCACTGATGGAAAACATGATTGTCATGTAACTTATTTATTAAACAGGAATCACCTACAACTTAGCAGAGATTTCAACTAAAAATACTCCCTCCGTCCCACAATGAGTGACCTAGCCACCATTTCACACATATTAAGAAAAGCGTAGAAAAGTAAGAGAGAGAATAATATTTTTACTATAGCACCCCTAATCATGTATTGAAAATGATGGAAGTTTAATTAGTTAGAGGGTAGAATTGGAAAAAAAAGTATTGGAAATTGAAATTGGTCATTCATTTTATGACACTATTTTATTCCAAATGGGCTACTCATTGTGGGACGGAGGGAGTAATACATTTGTGACCGAGGGTATTTTCTAAGGGTACCAGTACCTTAATGAGCTGTCAGACATTTATTGCTTGCTTGTGATACATGGTGGACTCCCATTTAAATCATTAAATGTTGTTAACTTATTATAAACTGGTACCGTGTAAAAGAACATAGTAGATCACAAAGATTTATTTTGATGCTATACCATTTTATAATCGTCATCATTTCATGTGAGTCGTGCTTAAAGTAATGGTTGAGAAAGCATAATGTTGAAATCTCTGTTTTTAATTTACTGGAATATAGCATTATATAGGTTTAAGGTTATGAGCTGATTTACATTATGATGGCAGGGGCGTTGAACCATCTGTTTCAATATCTGAAATCAAGAAGGCCTATCGGAAAGCTGCACTTAAACATCATCCGGACAAGGTTGTTTGATTGGAAACTTAGTTAGATAATGATATGTTAATAACTTTTTTAACATTTTATTTTGTGATGTAGGCTTGCCAGTCTTTGACAAAAAATGACAATGGAGATGATGGGATATGGAGGGTTATTGCTGAGGAAGTACATAGAGATGCGGATAGGCTTTTTAAAGTAATTGGGGAGGCATATGCTGTCCTGTCAGACCCTGCAAAGGTATTTTATATAATTTCAAATAACAAGGTTGATGAGATGATTGCTTTATTGTTTTACAAATGTTGGATCCCAATGGCTTTAATGGTTCCATGGAGCTAATCCTGTGAACTCTTTGTAGTGGTGGATAAGGATTTGTAGCTATTGACATGTTGATGTTATATGAGAAGTTTCTGTCGTAAAATTAAGGCAGTAGCAGCTTCTATTGACCTTCTATCAGAAGCTTCTACCTAGCAAATAGGAATTAAAGACTACTTTGCTTCTCCTTACTCTTTTGTGTGTGTTTTACCCCCAATAAGTATGAGAATTTATCGTGTTTAAGTACTCGAGGTCCTTCAAGTTTTTCCAGCGCTAGCAAATTAGTCTTTGTATTTATTTAGTCGGTATTCCATTTTTGCAGCGTGCACGGTATGATGCAGAAGTAGAAATGAGAAATTTCCAAAAGCGACGCCCTGGAACTACGGGTAGAAGTAATATGGAGAATCAGTATTGCCCATCTGATCAATCCAACAGAAGACATTGGAGAGAGGTTTGGAGATCATACGGTAATTCATCTTCTCAAAATTATGAATCTGGTCGACCAAGTAGGAAGTAACGAAGTTGCATGGAATGTTGATTCGGTAAGGATCTGGGTTACAGTATGAATCATGGAATTCGACCTTGTTAGGTGACGTTTTTAAAATATCTGTTGTATTTGGCCTGCCAAACTTTTGCAGTACAGCAAGCTCCCCGCTTTATTTATTACGCAGTTATGCAGCTTCAACCCTTTGAGTTTTGAAGACCCGTTCCTGCAACCAGACCCGTTCCTGCAACCTATGACATATTATAAGGTTGGAGAAACTAAGCTGGTCAATGCTTGGGTTGTTTGGAAAGGTTGAAATTTTCTCTTGACAAGAGAAACACAACATGGTTGCATTTGATCAGCATTTTTATTGTTTTTTTTTCTGCGAGAAGTTGGTGTGTTGGCTTGGCTTGCGAGGAGCATGTGTAAAGGGAGCTTGAAATTTTGAATTATTGTTGAAAGATCTGATTATTTTGGTTTGTGTAAATTTTTTTATAGACACTTGTAGGATGTTGATATTGAGATGTACAGCCGAAATTAAATTGTAATACCACGTTAACGATTGTAATTAACAGAATAGTTGCAGTTTAGCCAATGTGGATGAGTAAATGCTTTCCTCAACAATTATGAATGTCTAAATCAATCTCGCACCTCCACCAGGGAGGATTGAAACCTGCAACTTTTCGCCAAATCTCCTTCCATAAATTGTTGTTAGAATCATGAGATGAACCCGGTAAATCTTTCCTTTTATCACCAGACTGATGATAAGCTGAGTGAACTGAATATTTGCCATCTCTTTAGGAGTCTCACAGAAGCCTAAAGGCGAGGGCGGATACTTAAAATAGCCTTGCTTTGAGATGATTAAAAATGGAGAAGGTCTAATCTCTATTACATTGTTTGGTGTCTTGATCAATAAGAGCACTCACTCACAAGAGCATCATGATGGAGAATCTTTACGTGACCTTTAACTCCTCTAGTAGAGTTAGGATCTTCTCTATTTTCTCTCTACTCCTCTAATACTCAGTACGAGTTAGTCCGTTATCATTCTAAATCCTTACCTTTTTACCATTTCCTATGCTCCACTTTCCACCTTTCACCATTATATTTTTGAAACTCGTGATACTCCTTGTAAGATGTATTAGAGTACTTGTAAATATTCGAAGTTAGACTTAAGTCTATTAATTGAAGATTGGATTGAGTCATTTGTGCTTAGCTGGCAGTGTGAGTTGACTTGGACTGAGTTGTCACTAGAGTAGTTCTATAAGTAACAAACTCTAAGTAACTCATTATGAGTTTTTGTTAATGAATAACAGTCCTCTCATCTTCTACTCTATGCTTACTTTCTCTTTCTCTAATATAGTATCATGAGCTTGTGATCCATCACAACCATGGCTTCTTCTGCAAATACTTCTTCATCAACATTGATAGATTGAAATCATCTTCGCACCATGCCGAAATCACGTCCAACAACACTGCATCTTCATCACCGAAGAATGCATTCAAACGTTTGCGCAATAGATCAACATCAAGTTGGATAACAATAATTTTCTGTCCTGGAAGCAACAAGTTGAAGGTTTCATCCGAATTCACAAACTCCATCGCCACCTTGTGAATCCGGTGATACCTCCGCGCTGTCTCACGACGGAAGATCACGATTTCGATTTCGAGAATCCTGCGTGTTGTACCTCAAAATTTGTCCTCTCTTTTCTCAAAGCATTTCTCACAAAGATTTCAAAAAGCTCAAGTTTGCACAAGCACAATTAGAGTTTTTATGCCCCATATAATTTTCATGGATCATATTGGACTTTCAAGCACCAGGTCGAAGAGAAAACTGTTGAAAGGGCAAAGCAGATAAAAAAAGTGTGTCGAATTCAAAATCTGATTCAGGTTGTTCGAATCACATGACTAATTGAAAGGAGTGGTTGGTAAATTTTGACAAGTCGAAGAAGAGCAAGCTTGCTTCAATTTCGCAAGTTTTGATTGGGCAATGGCTTTCTTCATGCTTGCTTTGATCCACAAGGCAATGGCTTCCTTCATGCTTGCTTCGATCCACAAGGCAATTACTTCCTTCATGCTTGCTTCGATCCACAAGGCAATGTCTTCCTTCATACTTGCTTCGATCCACCTCTAAACCCTTCGACACACATAATTTCTACACTATAAATTACAATTTGAGGTTTGAACATTTGAACTGATGGTTACTGGTAGGAAAGCAATTCAGAAATTCTTTCATTTTGACCATGCCAATGAGATCATCTTGCATACTCAAAGTGGTACATACAAGGACATACAATTGGTGGATTCGAAGAACGCCATTAGTGGTCCATTCGAAGAACATACAATTGGTGGTCTATTCGAAGAACATACAATTGGTCCATTCAAAGAGCATACAATTGGTACATTCAAAGAACATATAATTGGTAGATTCGAAGAAAATACATTTGATGGCCCATTCAAAGAACATACATTTGGTGGATTCGAAGGACATACAATTGGTGGATTAGAAGGACATACAATTGGTGGTCCATTCAAAGAACATACAATTGGTGGATTCGAAGAACATATAATTGGTGCATTCGAAGAATATACAATTGGTAGTCCATTCAAAGAATATACAATTGATGGATTCGAAAAACATATAATTGTTGGTCCATTCGAAGAATACACAATTGGTGGAAACAAATATTGTCTTGTCTTTTGATGAGTTTGGTCGAAGGCTGCTGAACAAAGTGCTATATGCTGCCAAGCCCAAGTTTGTTGTACTGTCCACATAACAGTTTAAAACCATGTCAAAAACAGTCTGTTGTACTGCTATGAAACAACCCTGCACCAAGCTGCCACAACACTCCAAAATTGCTGTAAAACAGTTCTGCTATGCTGCTCCTAATTTGCACCAAACTAGCATATAAGAGCTGCACCTCGAAAGTTATGAAAATAACATACCCAAACTGTTCAAATTTCATTTGTTTTCTCCCTCAAAACTCCAGCAAGACTCTTCTATAAATAAGTTATTTCGCAACACATCTAGGGGAGGCTTTTGGAGAAGAAAAAAGGAGAAGAAGAAAAAAAGAGAGATGAGAGAACACTAAGGCTGAAGCCTTAGAACACTCTTAAACCCAGAACAAAAAAACACAACACTTCTATTTCTTTTCTTTTGAACCCAGAACTAACAAAGACAACACCTCTTTTCTTTTCTTTCGAACCCAAGAGCATTCGAAGGCAGCAACTCAAGTCCAAAACACACATTTCAACTTCAAGGTAAGTCTTCTTGACTTTAAACCCTTCGTTTTAAACATCATTAATCATTGCCTTCGAAGCTATTCGTTTTGTTTGTTTTCCCTTCTTGTCAAGAACTAACCTGTACAGACCATAAAACAATATTGGAGTGAGAAATTGCAGCATGCTTCGACACAAAGCCTTAGGCTTCGACACACTGCTTTACAGGCCCAAACAGAAGAAAAAAGGGTATGTGAATCGAAGGGTGCATGCTTCATATTGCATGAATCGAAAGATCTATTTTTCTGTGAATCGAATGACACATGCTTCAAACTTACTGCATGAATCAAAAGATTCATTTTTTCTCTCTCTTGCGCTGTTTTTGTTTTTTTTTATTTATATTTTCTCTCTCTCTCTCTCTCTCTCTATATATATATATTTTCATTGCTATTCAATATGGTTGTAATAATTAGGACTTTTATTGCTTTTCACCCCATTTGTACATTTGTATTCCCCATCCCCTAAAATGGTGTAATAGCTTAGGATTTTAATTTCCACAATTTCCAGCTTTAATATAAATTGTTAGTAATTAGGGTGTGTATGGCAAGATAAAATTAACCGTTAGAAAACCCTAATTTCAAAGACAAAAATGCATGCAATCAAACACACTATTCACACGCGTGCACCTCTAGGGTAACCTCACTTGTTGCCTCAGAAAATAGTCATGTCCCTCAAATATGGGCGTTTTAGCAAAGACCCTTGATAAAAAAAGATCGTAGTCCCTCGATGTCCCTCAATGTTGCCTCCGGTAAACGATCTAATCCCTTACGAAAATTGATAAAACGTCTCATAAGTTGCCTTCTATGACTATACGATTGACCCACGCCTGTCCCTTCACATCCAACGACGGGGCTTCTTACCAATCAATGGTAAGATTGCAACATCTAAAGAAGGAGGAAAAGAACATAGAAATTTTGAGTAGGTAGGACAATCATAGTTTCTTGCTCACAATCAAAACCATTTTCACACTTCCACTTTTAAAACATCTTCAAAAAACAAACATCTCTTTGAACTATTTTCAAAACCAACACTTTGTATGCATTCTTATAGAGAAGAGAATCATTACAAAGTTTTCCGCAACAAAGGCATTTTCAAAATATCTTCAAACTTACACCCATCACAAAACACATTTTCAAACAAAGCAAAAGTGATCTAGCAAGCAACTAAGATCCCGTAGATAACTACGGATGAAAAGGGTGCTAACACCTTTCCTTTTCATAACCTACCCCCCGAACTCAAGAAAATATCTCGAAATGTCTTTCTTGTTCTTTTCACCCTTTCCTTTATGGATAAAAGAAAAGTCAGTGGCGACTCTTTCTATCTGTAACAATTGCGATAAAACGCAAAACACCCAAGTCAGTTATCCCACCGTATTACAAAACTGGCGACTCTGTTGGGGAATTAACTTAAAAGTGGGATTATCTTAGAGCTAGATCACCTTTATAGTGATTTATTTGTTTGACTTGCCTGCTTTACATTTTTGGGTCCTTGTTTGGGTTTTGTTTTGATCCTACACCCGGATCTGGGGCACCTTTTAGGTAAGTAGCAATAGATCGTGGGGACTGTGCGGGATATACCGACATGGTTGAAGCGATAACTACGTTAGTGTGACACATTTGTTGGTACCGGTAGCCCTTAAGTTTAGTCAAGGAGAATACGGGGCCGCTGTGTGGTGTCATGAAGCACTAACTGAGCTTAGAACCTTTAATTGAACAACTTGGCCATTAGGAAGTAGTGAGATAGCCGGCTTTGGTGCA